TGAAAAATTATGGCATAACCTGACATGGGACTGCCAGTCTTTCTCTGTCTCTGCTCCATCTTCCCCTTAACTCTTCAGCTGCCCATTTTCCCCAACTCATTGTACAACTCTTGTACCTCCTGTGGCAGCATCGCCCTCAAATCTGACTTCTGAGAAATTTCCAAGCGGGTGCTTTTGTTGCCTATATTCATCACAATTCTTTATTTGAAATAAAAAGTGAGCTCATTTGAATATTTGAGTGTTACTCCTGAAATTTCAGTTTGCCCTTTTAGAACATGAGCCACGTGTGGTGGTTCTGACTGAACCCGAGTTTCTGTTTTAGGGTATCAACGACTTGGAGCTGAGCCAGCAAAGCCTGCTTACTGATGAGCAAAAGAAGCTCAAAACGAAATTGACATCTTGAAGAACAAAATTATTGCTGCAACTGTAAGCAGTCTGTGTTTAATACTGAAATCTAAGGATTGATTGATGCGAGCCGAGGGATATTTCACTTGCAGAAATGTGTGTAATGATTATCGGCATTTCCTTGTTTTGAAGGAGCAACAGCAAGAGTTGGCGAGTATTCAACAATCTCTGCAAGCCATGCTGCTTCTATGAATCTGAAGAAGGAACTTCCACTCAAGTTCTGTCTGAAAGTCCAACGTTAGCTACACTAATTCAAGTTCTCGCAGATATAAGCACATCTTCTTTGTCACTAGTTCGTTTGTGAAATGCAAGACCATGTTTCTCTTGCCCCCCTGAACCCTAAACAGTAATGTGATCAGCAGCAGTGGAGGGTTACGTGTATAACACTCTGGCTCTTTGGTAGTGATGGTGAAGTTTCCTCCCTCCTCCGGTCAATGTACGTGTAGCAGTAGGGATGACAGGGTTTTCGGTTTGGCCTCAGCGGATCTGTGTCGGTCTCAGAAGGCAGAGCTCCCTCTAGAGGGTACATCGTCCTTCCTTGAAGGAGTAAAGAAGACAAACTGTAACCTGTGCACTGTCTTGTATTTCCTCCCTATGGTATGGAGCCAATTCATAAGCAAATGCTGTTTCCAAAAAGACCCTACTCTAAGGCCTTACAAGCATAGTTAAAAGCAACTCACCTCTGGGTGTTTGAAAAAAGCTAAGCTGGGACACATAATTAAGATACCTGGCGAGATATCTGTGCTAAGCTGTGGATTTCTGATTTTGTCATTTTCCACACAGACATCAAGGTGTCATTCAAGGAAGTTCTGGTCCACCAGTAAATAACACCTGGCCTTAGTGTGATTGCCAGTATTGGTTAACAACTTAACAAACAAAATTGATTTGTTCGTGATGACGATAATTATTACTTTATGATAATTTAATTAGAATAAGTTGTTATGTAATGATTTAAGTTTCTCAATGCTTGTCTTCAGACAAAAGTAACCAGAGTGCTTTGCTTTTCCACTTTGATATTAGGTGAGAATGCGGAATTCAAATGCACATTCCTCTGAGAAATGATTAATTCTGATAGGTTTCCCTTTGTAATTAGAATACGTTGTTATGTAATGGTCTGATGATCTCACTTGTCTTCAGACATAAAATAACTAGAGTGCTTTGCTTTTCAGCTTTAATCAGTGAGAATGTGGAATTTTAGATGCACATTCCTCTGAAGAATGATTAATTCTGATAGGTTTCCTCTTGTAATGTATACATTTTACATTTAATGACACCTCAAATTGTTCTGTGGATACATTTCATGCAATAAATATGCAATTATTTAAAGTGTATTTGGGAAAAGTCAGTGAAATGAATTCTTTGTGCTGATGAAATTGTCTTAAAAATCATTCAAAAATACCGCGTTTGTTAGGAGAGGGGTGACTTTCTGTGGACTTTCCATTTTATTTACTTTTTGAAGATGTATTTATTTGAAAGTCAGCCTTATAGCGAATGATGGAAAGACAGACAGACAGACAGACAGAGAGAGAGAAGGGAGAGAGAGGGAGAGAGAGAGCTTCAATCCGCTGGTTCATTCCCCAGGTGGATGCACATTTCAGTACAAAAGTCTAAGAACTACATCTGATTATTAAGATCCTCACTTGAAAGAATTCTGACCGTACTGCAAGGGTAGAGTAAGTTCTCTAAGTGTCGTTGCTGAGAGTTCTGGTTTTCACTCTTAGCTATCTAAGTGACTTTATAACAGAGAATGAAAAGACGGGAGTTAGGATAGCATGGACTTAGTGACGTGATGGTTAATGTTTTGCTCGTCCCCTTCCTTCCTGGAATGAGTCAGCTGTCCTTCCTGGAATGAGTCAGCTGCCCAATTGAGTAGCTCCCTCGTTTTCTGAAGGGAAGGATTTTTTTTTTTTTTTTGCCATTAAAGAAACTGTTAGGTGAGGGTACGTCTGTGTGTATATGACTTTTTTTTTTAAGCTTATTTATCTGAAAGTGTTACAGAGAGAGGGGGAGGGACAGACAGTTCTTCCATCCACTGGTTCACTCCGCAAATGGCTGCAATGGCTGGGGCAGGGCCAGGCTGGAGCCAGGTGTCCCATCTGAGTCTCCCATGCGACCTGGTGCTGCAGGGGCCTGAGCACGTGGGCCATCTGCTGTTTTCCAGGCAGGTGAGCAGGGAGCTGGATCAGAAGTGGGACTCAGACCGGCATCCATATGGGACGTTGGCACTGTACGCAAGCAGCTGAACTCACTGCACCACCGCACCAGCCCCCTATGACTTACTTTTGTAGTACAATTTTAGGTTCACACCAGAAAGATCAGAAGGTGCATAGATTCACCGTATAACCCTTGTCCCACTAGCAAGCACAGAATTCTGCACTATCGACTTTCCACCCTAGAATGGAACATTTGTCCCAGTCCCTGTACTTAAAATGGAAACATCATTGCCACCCAGAGTTCACAGTCACATTGGGGTTAAGGCCAACGGCTATGGTCTCCAGCAGTTGCTCAGTGTATGGGGCAGTGTGTTGGCATTCACCGCCTGCCGTTGGCAGCTTGTAAAACCTTCTCCCAGATGCACGGATCATGGCTACTGCCTCAAGCCACGGGCACACGCCCGCAGCAGTTTCCCAAAATCTTCCAGTTAACTCCCGTTTTAATGTTTGGCCACGAGTTTCCAACAAAGCCTGCAAGAGCTTAGGCCTGGGGTCCTGACTTGGGGTCTGGCCCATAGTGAGGAGGTGAAAGTAAGTAACCAATCAGGAAAGGGAAGGGAAAAGGTAGGAGGATAGAATCACAGGCAGACCAGTTCATGGGGTGGCCATGAATTCTTTGTGCTGATGAAATTGTCTTAAAAATCATTCAAAAATACCACGTTTGTTAGGAGAGGGGTGCCTTTCTGTGGACTTTCCATTTTATTTGCTTTTGAAGAGTTATTTATTTGAAAGTCAGCCTTATAGCGAATGATGGAAAGAGAGACAGACGGTGGGCGGGGGGCGGCAAAAAAAATCCAAATGAAGAGCCGGTGACTGCTCTGGGGGTCCCTAGAATGGGACAGAGAAGCCCTCTCATCTAGCAGAGAGATTGGAGCCCAACTACCTGTGCCATCCTCCATTGCTTTCCCAGCCACAGCGGAGAGCTGGATTAGAAGTGGAGCAGCCAGGACAAGAACTTGTACCCATATGTGATGTGGTACTGCCGGCTGAGGAATATCCTACTACACCACAGTGCTGGCGCCTGTCACTACTCCTTTTTGAAGTGTTTACAAAATGTCTAATATTTATTTGCATGTAGTGTTTGTGTTTATGCATGTTTAAATATTTGCCTTCTTGTTGTACTGAAAAATAAATAATAAATATTAAGTAAATGATACATAATGTTTCAGATTTTCAAAAGGAAAAATTAAAGAATGACAAATGGAAATAAGCATGTAGTGGTATAAATGGTACTGCTACATTTCTTTTTTTTATAGAAAACTTTTATTTAAAATATAAATTTCATAAGTACAGCTTTTGGATTACAGCGGTTCTTCCCCCCATATCTGCCATCCCACCCCCAAACCATCCCTACTCCTACTCCCTCTCCCATCTCATTCTTCATTAAGATCATTTTTGATTATATACAGATCAACTCTATACTAAGATTTCAGCAGTTTGCACCCACACAGGCACACAAAGTATAGAGTACCGTTTGAATACTATTTACCGTTAATTCTCATAGTGCAACACATTAAGCACAAAGGTCATACATGGGGAGCAAGTGCACAGTGATCCTGTTGTTGATCTAACAATTGACACTCCTATTTACGACATCAGAGCACACCATTTAATGGGCAGGCAGGGTCACATAGCTGATTCAGGGCAACACTCATTCTACAGATAAAGCTGATATTGGCACCGCTATGCTTCTCCAATCAGCTTGAAGGAGCTCGGCCTCCTCACAGTCCTCCGGGAAGCCCTGGATGAGCAGGCCTCTGGCGAGCGCGGACGCCCAGCCACCTGCACCAGTCCTGCAGCATCGCCATCACCATCGCCTGCATTGCAGCCGGCCCAGGCTGATACCGGGAGCAGCGAAGGGCGCCAAGCGCAGACCAGGGTGGCACCGCGGGGGGGTGGGGAGAACTGGGGCAGGAGCCGAGGGCTGGGGGAGAACGGCCAGGATCTCCGCCGCCTGTGAAGGCGAAAGGGGCGACAGCGCGGTTTAAGACCCACCGCGCGACCCTCCCGCCTGTAGGCGCCTCTCCAGCCAGGCCCGACCCGACCCGACCCGACCCCGACCCCGACCCCCGCCGCGGTCCCCGCCTCGCCCCCCTCTCGCCCTCGCGGGCCGCAACCCCGGCCCCGCACCCCCGCCCGGAGCCCTGCCCCAGGGCGGTCCCAGGGCCACGGGGTCTCCCCGGACGGACCACGCCTCCCCCACCCTCTGGGCCTCGGGCACCTTCTCCTGGGGCGAGGTCCTTCCGGGTCCGGGTCCCAGCTGGGGGCCGGGGGCTGCGCGGTGGTGGCAGAAGGCCCTGGCTCCCTTGCTGGCTTGCGCTGCCTCTGGCTCCCTGTCTGTCGGCGCAGCACGTGGGCCAGTGCGCGGGCGCCCTCTGGCCTCGGCTCTCTGCAGCGTGGACGCGGGGCGGGGCCGCGCTGGCGGCAGAGCGCGGACCCTCCGTGTCGCCCCGGAGGAGGCGGCCGGGCCATTGGCGCAAGCAGCTCATGCTGCCGGGCCGTCCTCGCGGCCGCGGCCGCTCGGGGACCGACACCGACCTTGATGTCGCTTGATGTCACCTGCTCTTCTCTCCCCACTGCCCTCCGCCCCGACAGGTGGGGCCCTGGGGCACGAGGGGTCCGAGCTTTGGTGGCCAGGAGTCCGCACGCCTTTGGCTCCCCCCTGCGCTCCCCTGGCTCGCACCCAGCCCTGTGCCCCACCACTGTGAGATGCGCCTGCCCTTGGGGCACAGGCGAGCAAGGGTCAGCAGCTGTGGGTGCCCGTCAGGCTGTGTTCGGCAGGCGGCAGGGGGCGGCTGGGCACGGGCGCGGGCGCGGGAGGGGGACGCGCTCTGGGGCTTGGCCTGCTCTGCCCTTCCCCCGCCCCACCCCGGAGGACTAATTCAGAGGCCAAGCCAGAGAAGAGCACCTCAAGTGGGTGTGTGTCTTTGGCGTCGGTGCCACGTGCGCTAGGGTGCGCTTACGCCACGCTGCCGGTGCCACGTCGCGCCACAGTGGGACTGCGACGTCGGCGCTGCGAGTCTCCTTGGACGGGCCACAAGCCTTGGCCGCCTGCTATGCACCTGTTTCCCATGTCTGGCACTGTGCAGCTGCTGTGCCCCGAGCCCAGGAGGGTCACCAGCGCCTGGCCTTTCCCGCTTTGCCTAATGTGAAAATGGCAAATGACCCACCCGCTAGGGTCAGTATATCACTGCGGGGTCTGGTGCCAGGTGGAGCCTTATGCCTGCGTCCTACCCTGGCCGCCTCCTCTCAGGGACAGCGCTAGGCGGGGAGTCTCTGTGGCGTCTATCTCAGTGTGCGTGCTGAGGGGCAGTGTGCCGGGAGTGGTGTGCTCAGGGTGCCCCCTGTGCCCTGTGCCTTTGCCAACTTGATGGGCTATGGGGCATTGCTCTGCTGGCCGGGAGGCAGCGAGGGTTTCCACACAGATATGTTAAGTTCCTTGCACGCAGTTCCTCAGTCTGGGACCTTATTTGTAGTTCAGTATTTAGCATTGCTAAATGTAAAGGAAGCCCTAATACAATCGAATGACTTTCTTATGCCAAGGGAATGTCAGACACCGAGACTCACAGGTCCAGGGAGAATGCTGCGTAAACATGGGTACCCCGCCATATGCTCAGGGGGTATCAGTGGCCCCCAGTAATTCGGATAAAAGCAGGGAAAAGATTCTGCTTCAGAGCCTGCAGGAGGCAAAACTGCAGACACTTTTTCTTGGCAATTTTGGAGTTCACGTTAAGCTTTGATGGTCGTCGATATATGAGTCAGTCTTAAGAAAAAAATAAACTTAAACATACGTCCACCTTTTGGTTCAGCCTTCGCAGTGCTATTTATTTATAGGAGAATGAAAAACAAATACATGCAAAAAGAATTCCATAGGATGCTTCCAATAGCTTTATTCATAATTACATTCCTACTCTGAAATCACTCCAAATACCTCTCAGCCAGGTGCTTCAGACAGAAAAGTGTCCTCACAAAAATTCCAATGATATATTCACAGAAATAGAAAAATAATTCTAAAATTATTATGGCACCACAAAAGACCACAAATAGCCAAAACACTCTCGATAGAGAAAAAACAAAACTGGAGGCATCATAGTTCCTAATTTTAAATTATATTACAAAGATGTAGTGATCAAAACAGTCTGATTCCAACCCATACACAGACATATAAAGCAATGGAAAAGAAACAAGAACCATTAAATAAACCCATGCATTTATGGTCAACTAAATTTTAACAGGGCCACCAAGAAAAGACAGTGGGGAAAGGATAGTTTATTCAGTAGACATGAGACATGTAGATATCCATATCCAAAGGAATGGAATTGGATCTTTATCAGACACCATAAATTCAAAGTGAGTTAAAAACTTAATATGTGGGGCCAGCACTGTGGTGTAGTGGGTAAAGCCACCGCCTGCAGTGCTGGCATCCGATATGGACACCAGTTGGAGTCCTGGGTGCTCCACTTCTAATCCAACTCTCTGCTGTGGCCTAGGAAACCAGTAAAAGATGGCCCAACTCCTTGGGGCCCTGCAGCCACGTGGGAAACACAGACCTGACTCCTGGCTTCAAATCTGCTCATCTCCATCCATTGCAGCCATTTGGGGAGTGAACCAGTGGATGGAAGCCACCAGTTGGAAGTCCCCAACCGGGACTAGAACCCGGTGTGCCAGCACTGCAAGGTGGAGGATTAGCCTAGTGAGCCGCGGCGCCGGCCGACCAATGGGATTTTATCAAGCTAAAAAGCTTTTGAAAAGCAAAAGAAACAACAAACGTGATGAAAAGGCAGCCTTGAGGTTGGGAGAAAAGATTTGCAAAACATATATCTCATAAAATGCTAAGACCCAAAGTGAAATGAATTTCACACAACTCAATAGTAAGATAAATGCGCAACAAACAAAGCCCCAGCTAGCCCAATTAAAAATGGGCAAAACACCTCAACAGATATTTCTCCAAGAAGGCATGCAAGTGACCAATAACAATGGGCAAAGGCCCTCACATCACTATCAGGGAAATGCAAATTGAAACCAGTCAGATATCATTTCATACCTCTTAGGATGATTATCTCAAAAAAAAAAAAAAATCCACAACAGTTAGCAGGTACTGGTGAGGGTGTGAAGAAAGGAATCCTTGTGTAATGTTGGGGAGGCATATAACCTGGGTAGCCATTATTGAAAACAGGAAACTTTTTCAAAAATTTAAAAATAGAGCTACCATATGGCCCAGACATTCCTCTCTGTTGGATGTATACCTAAGGAAGTAAAATAAGAACCTGAAGAGATATCTGGGCTCCTGTGTCCACTGCAGTGTTATTCACAATAGCCAAGATACAAGAATGACTTAAGTGTCCATCAACAGATTAATAAAGAAAACATGGCAGGCATCCAAGGACTTTGGCCACCTTCTGCTGCTTTCCCAAGTGCATTTGAAGGGAGCTAGATCAGGAGGAGGCGGATTGCATCTGGTCACAACTCACAGGACGCAAGTAAGGATGGGATACTGGTGAAGTATAGATCCTCGTTCTCTCTGGGTAAGGATAGCATTTTTTTCCATGGACCCTCTGAGCTGGGTTGGAGAGCCAGGGGTCAGATTTCCATTTCCTTGGCAACCAAAACCAGATTATTTGTAATTTCTCCAGTTGAATGCCCAGTGCCTAACAGTTATTGATAAACTTACTTACGCTGCTTCAGAGGTTTTGGCCTGTGTCCTAGGGATGTTTTCTATATAGCGCTATTGGAGATGATCAAAGATTCTCATTCTTTCTAGGAGGGCATTGTTCCTTTCAGCTTACAGCTTCCCAACCTCTGCAGCCTTGTGCATGCCCTTCCCCTTCTACCAGCCGATTTTGGAAATCATGTTGAGCCCTGGGGAGTCTGTCTTGGTACCATGTCGCTCCCCCTCTTCGCGGAGGGAACGACACTAGACCCTGCGCTGTTCTTTTGTCTGCTCGGCCTCTTCCCGGGTTGCTGCTGGTCCTTCCCGGGTTGGCTGCCGACCCCTCCACCTCTGTGGAGGGGCGGCTCCCCCTGCCACTTTCCCCGCTTCCGCGGAGGAGCGGCACACCGCCAGCTGGCTCTCTCAGGGGCTGCTCAGGTGTTCCTTCAGAGTTCCCTTTAGATGTTCCTAGTGCATGTTGTCTCTCTCCTCCTTTACAGTCCTCTTCCACCAATCCCACACTCTGCTGCCCACACGCCAAGCACGCTGCTCTCCTCCAATCAGGAGCAGGATCAGCTCCTGCAGCTTATCAGTCAACTGGCGAGAGGCAGCTGCGTAGAGGTTGTTGTGGCTCTCTCCCAGCGCCATATTGTGGGAGAGCAGATGCATAGAATAAGTCCTTAATTCCAGTAACAGTCTAGTCCGAGTTGCTCCCCACAGTACCACTCTGTAGGTTCTTCTAGAATGCCCGTTTCCCCCTGAATACAAAGTAATTGGAATACAACTCTGGGAAACCATTGTTTCCCCACAGAAATAAACTAAGTCCATTTTCTTTTCCAAAACAAGAGGTTCCAGTTTCTAAACCAGACCCGGTCAATCTCCGGGTTGGATCCACGAGAAGAACTGTGGCTACAGGAAAGAGAAGTTCTGTGACATTCCTGTCTAGGTGAGTGAGCGAAAGCTTGGTAAGTTTAGCATCCTTTCATTCACTGAAGGAGTGCATGGCCTGTTTGCACGTTCTGCTAGCGAGAGCAATTTTGTTTGTTTTTATCAGTCATGAGAGACACCTGTAGCTGATCCATTCATAGAAAGAGTGGAAACTGATCATTTGCAGGGCCTGAATTGAACTGGTTTGCAATTCCAGCTCTGAGGAGAAAATGACATTTTAAGGATTCTGAACGTTGACTGAGCCTTTCATTTGCCTGTCATACCTGCCCACATCTCAGCGTTCTTCACTACATATGAGACATTTCAAATTGCATTCTAGGTCAGAGGCTATCTACATTTCGACTCAAAATGTAGTATGTTAGTGATAGGCAGCTGAACCACAAATGAAGCACTGGGAAGAGAGTGACAAAGGAAAACATTTATTTTTGTTTTAAAAGATATTCATCCATGCAGTTAATATATATTTTACCCAATCACATTTGTTTTAACAAAAACAACATTTGCAGGGCCGGCACTGTGTCATAGTTGGTAAGTCCGCTGCCTGCAGTGCCGGTATCCCATATGGATGCTGGTTCGAGTCCTGGCTGCACCCCTTCTGATCTAGCTCTCTGATATGGCCTAGAAAGGCAGTGGAAGATGGCCCAACATTCTTGGGCCCCTGCACCCACGTGGGTGACCTATATGGGAGACCTGGGAGAAGCTCCTGGCTTCAGATCGGCACAGCTCTGACCATTGCTGCCTACTGGGGACTGAACAAGGCAGATGGAAGACTTCTCTCTCTCTCTCTCTCCTCTCTCTCTCTCTCTCTGTGTGTGTGTGTGTGTAATCTGACTTTCAAATAAATAAACCTTTAAAAAATAACATTTGCTCCTTCTAGTTAAAAGTGTTAAAATGCACACATGAGGAAAACACAGAAGTCCTGGGGC